AACCCGGCTTCCCGTAACTTTTCTGCAGCTCCCATCCGAGTACTGAGATTTTGGGTGCTGATAACTTGCTAGATGCAGCTGGGTTTGGTTTTTCGTCCTTCCCGAAGAGGTGAGTGCTCTTCGGGTCACTGCCCTGCGAGCACCGGCCCCTCCTCACCTTCTCACCTTCTCGCTGTCTTTCGGAGGCGGACGGGCGGTGCAGGTTTGCTCTCTCCCGGTGTGATGCCTGACGGAGCAGCCGGACTGTTTCGCCAAGGGGAGCTGCAGCCTGTGATTCTGAAAGCAGGAAAAGCATTTAAATGGAGATCCTCAGATGACAGGCGTAGATTTAAGCGGGGTTTTACTTATGTCCACCAGATCTTTCGCAAGCTAAAAGCAAAAAAGCTATTCCCTCCTCTGTTTTTTGTCTAGCCTTGCAGCTTGTCTTTTAGTTAGAAATGGAATTATGGATGGATTGTGCTGGAAAAAGTAATTTTTAGCTGATAAATGAGGACTTTTCTATATAATGAATTTATTCTGGAGCAAGCCACAGAGTACATTTACATTACAGTAGCTGATCCAGAAGTTTTCCACACTGTTCCACGGTAGCTATTCCAGACAATTTCTCTATGAAGAAAAGCCCTGAGAGTTGTTGCTTGCTTTTGGACTAGAATTGTTTTGCGTATCCCTCCTGCCACCATTTTCCTCTGGATTTTGTCAGCCTGATGCCTCTGAGCTTACGGCATTATTCTGTGCATTGAAAGATCAGGGATGTATTTTACTACTTTAGTCTTTTTTTTTTAAAAAAAAAAAAATGATGCCATTCATTCAAGGCAGGACTTGTTTTTCTGGACTTACTGAAGCGGAAGAAAAGGATATGACTGAGAAAATGACACACCAGAGAGATGCACGCAGACATCCCAGCCTCGCTGTTTACTTTTCTCATCTTCTTGGCAGGAGGGTGAAGGCGCGTTACTGTAACGTTGCATCCTCCAGCAGCTGCCAACAGGGTCAGCGCACACCCGGGCTCTCCGTTACCGTCTCCCTTTCCACGGAGACGCTAACGTCGCTGCTCAGGGCTGGAGGCGATGCTCAGATAGCACCGGCTGCAATTCCAAGGCAGGAAAACTAGTTCACACACCACTTGGCAGAGGGGATGGGGTCTGCGTGGTCCGAAGGAGCAAACCCAAGCGAGCGTGGGCGATAGATCAGCGCGGAAACAGCCCGAGGTAGGTGGGGGTGTCCCTGAAATGTGCAGAACATTAGATGTAATCAGAGCTGTGGAGCTACTGATTTTAATATTTGTAATGACAGCAGGCTGTTCCTTTCCTGAGCGTGGATTAAATTTCTTTAGGGTGAAGCCTTTCTCCGGGTATTGAGTGGCTGAGTCAATTTTTAAATATACTCTCAACAAAGAGCAGCCTTTGTACTGCCCGTGTTGGACTTTGTTGCTGCACTGATGTGTTGAAAGGAAGAGATGCCGTGAGCATCCAGAGGATGTGGAAGAGGTCAGTCCCCTTCCGACCTGAAATATGCCGAGCGTACTCAAGGAGCTATATGTGGAAAGCAAGGAAAGGGCCATTTTAAAGGGCATTACTGCCCTTAAGGTAATTATTACTCATGTGCTTATGTAGCAGGATACACTCTTTAGTGCTTTGGAAGTGTTTATAAGTAGATGATGTTTGCCAGGAGAGCTTTAAAATCATCTTTGCTGTTCATTCATGGATTTGTGGTCTCCATCTGCGAGACAACGTGTATTTGGGGGTTAGCAGATGCCTCAGTGGTACCAATAACAGGGGCTTTATTGCATCACTTATCTTTGCTTCATTAATGGTAGGATTTGTACAGTCTGTATGAACTCGAGAGCATTTCTCATGCTGTAGAGGGGGTTGCAGTGTTTTGGAAACTCAAATTGCCCCTCGTTGTGCTGGTGGTGATTTCTGAAGGGCTGGTGGTACAAGCTGCAGGTTGGCAGTCACACAGAGTAAGCCCTTGCTACCTATGTATATCTGGTTTGCTGTGGAGGCTTAGGAACACAAAATTCTTTAGAGTGGGATTTTTGCGCAGAGAATGACTGGTTTTGGATTCCTGTAAAAAACTGTACATGTATTACATATGCCATATTGCAATAGCAGAAAATTCGGTGTGTTTGTTTCTTGTGTTGCGGAAGATGTGTGTGTGTGTATATACATAGACATGTACAGCCTCAATCTCTTCAGCTTTCCGTAACAAAAATAGCAGCAAAATCTTTCCTTCCCTCAAGGCGAGCAATAACCTTCTCCGTGATTTTCAGAGGAGTCTCTTCTCTGCAGACAGCACCGATTTCTTCCTTCCCTGTCCCCAGCGTTATGCTCTAAATGCTGCCCGGGTCCCCCTGCCCTTCCCACGCCACCTGCCCCCGGCACCCCAGGAATTCACTTGCTAGAAAGGAAATGGGACTTGTCAGCCCTGAGTAAACACCCGTCCCCTGCAGAGACATACGGGCTATGGAATCCTCGCCGTCACCCTCTTCGTGGGCTGCTCAGATGGCCGGAGTAAGATGTTTTGGGTTCAACTGACCAAGGTCCTCTTTTGTAGGTGTTTGATCCCCATGATTTGTACACCGGAGAACAGTTCTCCAAGGTCCTGAGTACATTAACAGCTGTAAATAAAGCTACCGAAGGTAAGAAAAAAGGGGTTTTTCTGTTGCCTTTTCAAATTCTGTCTCGTATGTGTGCTGGGGTGGGCTGGTGGTGGGTGTTTTTTTGGTAATTCTTAGTTTATGAGGATTTCTAGAGCCTTGGCAAATTGGGCTGCCAGCACTGACCGCTGATGCTGGATGGTGGGATCAACATTTCGTGCTTCTACCAACTCAGAGTTTAGATGTAGTGTTCCACTGTGTGCACTTTGCAGAGCTTGATTATTATTGCTTTGCACTAAGGGACCTCTGCTCAGTTTTGACAGTACTAAGGGACCTCAAATTAGGTCATTGTAAAGGAGCTTCAATGTAAATCAGCATGCACCTCCCAAAATGCAAATACCAGATTTTAAATAGTGCATTTTAAAGCCAAAATCAGATCCATCTGCATGGTATCGTTACTGAATGCCAAAACAAACGTCGTTGCCAGATGCTCAGTCAATTGTATTGATGTTTCTCTCTCTCCTCTCCCTGAGTCCGTGGAGTAAGCTCCTAGATTCGGGAATCGAGCTGGTGGCTTGTCGTGCCTCCCTGGGTGCTGGAGCAAAGCAAATCAGATCCTCTTGTTTCCATCCCAAATACGTAGCTGTTCCCCACGGGTTGCTTTAAACTGATACTCAGTCACAGTAGCTGTGAAAGGAGAAGTTTGATGAGGAGGACAATGACAGTGTAGTGCTCTGGGGAGGGGTGAGAGGACCAGGGTCTCTTTGCCAAGGGGCTGAGGAGCAGCTCTGGGCTGAGCTGGAAAGAGTTTGCAGGGTGGAAAGCATTTATGGCCTCCGTCATGCAAACGGATTTGCACAGAGTCCTGCACACCCACCAAAGTCCAGCACTACGAGGAGACGTGAATTTCCCAGTTGCAGATTACTTTTTAAGTGATTAAAAGGGGAAAAATTCTAAACCCAAACCCACGATTTTCCTTTCATGGGAAGGTTTTTCTGTTGGCTTACTGTGTTTTGGCCAGATTTGGTTTGCGGTGGTTTTCTCAGTTGTTTTGCTGCTCTTTCAACTGAGTTTTTGCTTTTGAGTCCTTTTCTGCTAGTACAGAAGCTGCTTGGGTGTTCCATGAAACAACTTCATTGCTGGGATTGGACCCTCTCCTCCCTTTTTCCTCTTTTCTGTGCTGTTCTGATACAAGGTTTTATAAAATTGTATATGTAAAAAAATACGTAGTATATTTACACATTATATAAACTATTGTACAAATTATTATGTATATATTATATAAACAGCAACAGACATAAGAATAATATAGTAATATACGATGTATAATAACATATATAATATCTAATAATAATATTATATATATGTACACACACACACGTGTGTGTATGTATGTGTGTACAATGCTGCTCTGAAGAAATTCAGGTTCTTAGACTGCCTTTCTGCAGCCAGTGCTCAGCTCTGCTGCCAGCTCGGTCCCTGGAAGTCCGTGATGGTAATTCAGCCTCAGCACATCTCCTTACAGCCTCTTACTCTCCGTTAAATGACAGTACCCCGTGACCCCGGGTAGAAAGCTCTTGTGGTTCGATATGATGTGGGATATAAAATGCAGGTTACCTTTGCAAATGCTGTCATTGTGATTGACGTTAGCTTCAGTATTCTGAAAGCAAAAAGAGTGAGAAACTTTCCTGCTCTCTTCTTGCAGCCACCTGTGTCCCCGCTCAGTCCATGCGATCACTGGGTGAAGCTCAGGACAGGGCTTTGCTGGGGAATAGTTTGTATCACACGTTACTGATGGGGCTATAGGAAAGCTGGAATCCTCTTGGTTTCATGGCAAACATCTGTTTGAACATATGCATTCCCCGTTTAAATGTTAAAAAGCACAATGCCTGCGATATAATTAGCTGCTGAGGCAGAGAGCGCCCTTGGGAAAAGTACAGGGTAAAATAAATACATGTCTAAAACGTTTGCTTTTTGGTGGCTTGGCCAAGTTCCTGAGAAGCAAAAGGCTGTGTCCTACAAATTGCCACTGCAGATGGTCCGGTTTGTCTGTCTTGCCAGAGGCCAAGGGCTGAAGGGAGCATCAGGACAAGCCTGGTACCGGCTCCTTTATGGCCAAGGCTCCATCGTGCCTGTGCATCCCAACACCCGCAGAGCTGCTGCATCCCAACACCCTTGTTGGAGGCAGAGGGAAGTAGGTGACAGCTGAGGAAATGTGGTGAGAAGGTGTTTCTGAGCATCCATTTGAAGTCCAAATCCTTGTATCCTTGTGGATCTTATGCAAATAACTAGAGGCATCATTTATAGCAGATAAACTCAGAGTTCAGCAGCTGTCCATCAAATAATCACAATACAGATCTTGATGCTTTTATCTGAAAGAGAGGGCAGGGGAGGAAAACCAGCTGTGCTGGATCAGGCAAGGCTCATCTGCCAAAAATAGGGTAGGAATGTGAGCAGAAAACCCAGCTATTTTAACCATAGTTTAAGCAACATATGGCAGCAGTGTTCCACGCTGGACCAGACATAAAATAGGATGCTGTCATGATGCAATATAAATGATACACTTCCCTGCCAAGCTGTCAAAGTCAGTTTTACATTTGTTTCTAGGTTGCTGCAGATATTTATAAAAGCTTTGGAAGACTGGGAGGGGCAGGGAGAAACATAAAATCTCTAGTAACCGAGTCATTTCCGTGGGACTGTTGCTGATGGCTTGAATAAGCAGAGAAGTCTGGACTCGCTGTTTACACCCTCCCTTTTTAGAAGGAATCAGAGGAAGAACATCTCACGCTGGCAGTCGGCCACCCCTCCTGGCCGATGAGTCGCCAGGAGCAGCCGAAAACCACTCCTGCACAAATATCAGGATGCTTCAGAGAGAAAAAAACCCCACCACTCTGTGTTTGCAAAGTGGGTTTTCCATGCGGAGGGGTTTTGCTGTTGCTGCAGCCCGGGGAGCTGGGAATTCACCCTGCGGTCGTCAGGCGGCTGTGGAACGAGCAGGGCAAGACAGAAAAGTGACTCACGGACAGCACAGGAGATGTAACGTGGATGTTGTCCATTGCTGGAGCGTGGACTGGGTGGGCTGGTGCGTGGGGATGGTGTGGTTGGGGTTTGTAAGGCGGCAGCGCCTGGAAGCTGTAGTCACAGACCTGGAAGGCATTGGAGAAAGACAAAGCAAGTCCGTTCTCCGGGAGCTCGCAGTTTGCGTTGCTCCAGGTCCAATCTAAGGGTGAGGTGTTTTGCTATTGAAACAGAATCCTCTGGGGAGAGTAAAAGCCCAGCTGAGTTCCTGTAATTCCCACCAAACTTCCCTTTCAGAATGGTTTTTCCATGTTGATATTCAGGCTGAAGGAGAATGGGAACATAGCCGTCTTGGAGTTTGTGTTTTCTGGTTCCTGTGCACGCTCGGTGCCTCGATTGCCCTCTGCCCTTGGAGCATTTTTAGAGAAGAACTCCAAGCGTTATCCAGGGGACTTGCACACCCAGCACAGCGATGACCTCAGACTGCTCTTCTCTGTCCTCCTTTTGAGGTCCATGGGCACGCTACGTCCATACTGAGGTCCATGGGCATGCTAGGTCCATACTGAGGTCCATGGGCATGCTAGGTCCATACCACAAGGTGGAAAACAGCAGCTCTGGGATATAGAAATGTTCTTAAATCTGAAAAGAAGCTGCAGGGCAAATCTCAAAAGTACTTTGCAGTTTACTGAAATGGTAATGTCAGCCGGTGCTTCATCCTGAGCACTGTGGCACCTAGAAAGGGGGAGGTCTGAGTGTTGTCCCATGGTGTGGTATGAGGTAGAGTAGCATAGAAGTACTAGGAATTTCTGGGTGGTTTGAATCCCGTGTTTTTAGCGTTCTGCAGTGTTTGAGCCAGATTCTGGGGCTGAGTGCTGCCAGGTGCTGCAGGAGCCGGGACTTCTCTTGGTGATGAGGCCACTGACTCAATCTCAGCATGGAGCAGTTGTGACCAGGAACCTTTTTACCCTCTGGCAAGTTTTTTGGTATCAATATGGAAACAAATTGCTAATCGTGAAAAACAGATACATGTCAGAGCAGCAGCGTTATTTCCAGCGTCAGGCAGGTGGTGCCAGGAACAGGCCCAGAGACTAGTTTGCGAAACGATGAGCTTTGAGCATGTGAAGGAGACAACTCCGAGAGCTTCTGGGGCAGTCTGAGCCTTTCCGTGGTCTACTGGTCTCCTTGGCGTGGATCTCCTGTCCTTCATCAGCACGATCTGAATCCCTTTCTCACATGGTAGTGGCAACGGTCCATGAGCAGTAATCAAAATTGTGCCTAGCCTCTTTCAGCTGTATAATGAACCCAGAAGGACTTCTCTGAATAGAGAAGCGATTGTGTTGACCAGCTGTTCAGCATTCTTCCCCACTCAGCAGGGAAGCCCACGCTGCAGCTGTGGAGGTGACCTAAGCGTGCTTGCTTGCGAGCTAAACTTTGAAACACCTTCAACAACGCTTGCTCCAATCCCAGAAACGTTCCCAAATGGACAACAGCTGAGCATTATTCTGTTTTTCTACCATTTTAAGGGGGATTTCAAAAACATACCATGATCGGATGCGTGGCAGCAGAGCTGGCATAACCTAGGAGTGCCTTGGAATGCGATTCAACTTTTTCCATTGTGGAAGGGATAACCCGGGCCAGCAAAACCATCCTCACTGTTGACCAGGAGTACCCACGCTGGAGATACATTGCACTTGCTATTCTGCTCTGACAAATGCTCTGTCAGCTGTTGTGCCCTGTTCCTGCTTTCTTTGCGGGCTTCACTGTTTGCTTTGATGCAGAGGGATGGTGGAGAGTTGTGTGAAACTCAGATGTTTTTTCCTCACCAGATCAGCCGTCAAAAGGGCCATGTTCACATCTGTCATCTCTTAGCTCTGCGGCTGGAGGTCCCCACGCTGACTGCAACGGCACAGCTTCACAGTCAACGAGGCAGTCCAAGCCTGTGGTATCCTTTATTTAACATCTCATCAAGGGTTTGAAGGCTGTTGGGGGTAGAGGGATATGAGTGGTGCCTCTGGGTCAAGCACACCAGAGGAGTTTGTTCTCCCCTGATCTCCACCACGGCTTTGCTGCCTTGGCTGGAGAGAGTCTCGTGGCATCTCCAAATCATGATGCTCCTCTCTGTGGCATGAGAAGAGCGAGTCTCTTATCTGCCCACCGTTGCACTGTGAAATTAAATCAGTGCTTGGGAGGGACCTTGTGGTCCTCTGGCAGGAGTGCTTACACAAAACAAGATGTTATTGCTGTTATAAAGAGCAATACTGAAAAACAGCTGTCACAACAAAGAACAATAGCTTGTCCTAGTGGCTTCTGCTTTTTTGGACTGTTTACTGATGTTTTTCCATGTTTCTTTCCTTAGGAGATGACCGAGAATGGCAGTCATCAGCTGGTGGTAAAGGCCAGGTTCAATTTTAAGCAGACCAATGAGGATGAACTCTCTGTTAACAAAGGAGACATTATTTATGTCACCCGGGTTGAAGAAGGGGGCTGGTGGGAAGGGACCTTGAATGGAAAAACAGGCTGGTTCCCAAGCAACTACGTCAGAGAAATCAAATCCACCGGTAAGCAAATTGCTTTCAAGGGCTGCTTGAATGACGATGGTATAATGCAGTGTAGATCCTTGTGCCTTCGGGAAATTGCTGCTATTTATTAAAGACCATTTGAGTCCTCGAAGCAGCAGGGCTAATGGAAGGATGAACGAGGCCAGCAGGGTGAAGCCCAGTCTTTCGTTCGCATGAATTGTTTGAGAGCTGCTTCACCCTCTTCCCCGGCGCGTTGTGCCTTTCATTGCTCCCCCGAGCCCCAGCAGCGCGGGAGCGGGGCCGTCGCCGGAGGACGAGGCCAGAGATGTCTGCGTGGGTTCCCTTTGTCCTAAGGAGCTGCCAGGTCGTTCCGGTGTCTGAGCACAGAATTAGCTTTTTGTTAGAGACCTTGGTCAGGCAGAGTGTTTACATTTGATCCTGGCAATGGTGGATGCTCATGGTCTCAGTGAGGAAACCAACAAAAATCATATGGCCACAGGGGACGGTGCCCTGGTTTTGTCCATAGCGATGGCTGATTTCACGTAGCGCGATTTCCCCCAGACGCATCTTCTGCTGCGAAGCTGCAGGCGATGTTGGGAAAGGAAGAGGGAGGGAAGGATCCATCTGCTGACATCTGCCTTTACTGAGCTTTGTCTTGAGCGTCCTTAACGTTTTCTGTGATGTGATTTCAACCAGATGTGGGATGGTGATGACATGAAGCATGCCCCGGCTAGCTGCCCTGTAGCATCACGTACCCATTCAGGCAGCTCACCCCGTTGTGCTTCCAAGGCCATTGTGTGACAGTAATCTTGTTTATTTTCAAAATCTGACTTTTAATTCCTCAGTGTGCCTTGAAGGCTTACCTTAGACAGAGACCTGCTGCGTGCTCGGTGCTGGTTTTATGGCTCAGGATCAGCTGTGAGACATCAAGGGTGGTCTGCAAAGTGTACGGCCCCTGTTAGATGTCCTGGCTCCTGTACTCACAAGCGAAAACACAAAGGAGAGAATAATAAAAAAAGTGAAGGAAGAGTAAAATTAAGAGTGAGTGTTCAGAATTAGGCCAGTTTTTATTTCATTCTTTATGAAAAATCGTTAGGATATCTCATCTCCCACTGTTTCCCTCTGGGAAATGCTGTCTGAGCTGGAGCAGGACGTGGCAGCAGAGATTGAAGGCTTGTCTGGCACGACCCAGGAATCGCTAATTAAGTCAGTGAGCGGAAAAGAGAAATGTTTTTTAAAAAGAGAGAGCAAACTTCAGTCCCATGGGGAATATCAGATGGGAGCTGCATGAAACAACCACACCTCATTGAAGCGAAGGGCGAGTCTCCCATTGACCCTGATGTAGCAGCCCATCCGATTATTTTTTTTTTTTTAATCTGCAGAGCTTTTCCCTCCAGATCCTCTCTCCAGCACCCATTTCACATGGAAGGAGGGTTCATTCCCCCAGTCTCTGCTTGTGCGGGACGCGTGGCCACATGGACCATCAGCTCACCCTCCCCTGCCCCTGGACCGCTGCCCAGGGGCTGTAGCCTGGGAGGAGCCCTCGCTGCCAGCCAGCGGGAGCTGCTGTCCTCGCCTCCGAAGTGCGAGACTTGTCACTCTAAATTGAGTTACTTGTTTTTTCAGCAGCGTCTGTACTTGCACTGTGTCCTGAGCGTGCCCTTCGGGTGGAAATAACTAGCTGTGTGGAGCAAAGCTCCTCCGAGTCTTTAAATGAGGCACAGAGCTCCCGGCTGGAAGTGACAAGGAGCTCTACAAGGGCAATAATTAGACAATACATCAAGCTGCAGTTTCCAGGGCTGAATTCATCATGCTGCAGTTTCCAGGGGCTGAATTTATCAATTTCAAGCTTCTCCCCTGCTATTGGTGTGGAAGTAATTGCCTTCCGTGAGCAATGGCAGGGAGAAAGGAGGGGCTGGCTGCTTGGCTTGGCTTGGCACGGCACAGGGGCGTTTCGGTACGAGGTGTGTGGCGTGGCCAGGGCTGGTGGTGCAGCCTCATGCTGCCGACCTTTCCCAGTCCGGAGGGGTAACGATGCCAGGAGAGCTGGCAATCCATGCTGCTGGCAGGGAACAGGCTTCTCTGCAGAAGGAAGGATGGAGCAGAAGCGTGTGTGTGCATGTGCATGTGTACCACGCTGGAGGCGTCAGTGGGGATTTAGCAAATGCAGCAGATGATGAGAGTTGACTTCCAGGTTTTTGGGAGCTTTTTATTCATATCTACCTTTGTTCAGTGAAGGATTTTGCATCTCAAATGGTGGCGGGAGTCAGGGTTAGGCGTACTGATTGGTGTTGGCTTCAAGTACCTTGTGAATCACCTGGAACAAATGGCTGTATCCAGCGTTTCTGGTAGACACCTGGTTTGAAAACCCAAATTTTGTGGGCCGCGTGAAGCTTCCCCGTAGCTCCAAACAGTGCCAGACGCTGGGCTGCTGCCAGGGATTTCAGAGCAAACCTGTAAGTTCGTTGGCAGAGGCTGCTGCCGGTGCCACGGGAGCAACTCGCTCAGCTGCCGCCAGTGCCACGCACGCCTTCGGTTTGCTCCTGGTTTTTCTGAAGCAGGCTGGCAAACCTCACAGGTGAAGTTTTGTGTTCACAGAGATGAAGTTGTGTTTGCTGGACATGATGCAGCAGTGACTTTTCCTGCTTGAATAGTGAGAGCTGTGCACTGTAATTTATTGATAAATTTTTTTTTGTACAGATAAACCACTCTCTCCCAAAGCATTAAAAGGACTTGAAAGCACTCAACTGACAAAGAATTATTACCCTGTGGTAAGTTTTAAAGTGCTGATCATACATTTTAATAAGTAGCATGTTATTAATCTTCTGAACTGGCTCCTTCCCTTAGAAATCATTGAAGCAATTTGTAACAATTGGGGATGTGACTCTGTATTTAAATGCAGCTGTTGCCGTTTCCTTGATTGAGGGCTGTCGAGACAGAAAACCACAAATGGAAGTTATTGCAAGATGTCCAAAGGAGAGACTCAAAGTAGGCAACCGAGATAACGTAGCAAAGGTGGCAGCTCTGAGATCAGTGTTGGGGAATAAGGGACGATGTCTCTGGTCCAGTCCTTGCCGTTGGCTGCCGGCTATCTCCCTTTGATGAAGATGGGGAGATAATGTCACGGTGTGAAGCAAGCCAAATTAGGGCTCTGATCCATAATCCCTTCCTTGGGTTTGGCTGCAGATGTTGCACCGCGGGCTGCCTGCTCTGTGCCTCTGCCAGCAGCCACAGCCTTTGGAGAAGGGGCAGCTGCCACGGCTCACAGCCTGGCTTGTTGGCTGGG